CCTTGTTAGTGTCCTGTTCCTGATCCTTTGAGCACATTATTTTGTAATATTTCTAAGGGCTGTAAGAAGACATTCTATATTAGTTGAGTTTGGCAACTATTCATATTTTTAAATAAATGCAGAAATAACCATGAAAAAGATTTATTTCAAACTTTTCAGCAAAAATAAAGCATATCGCATCTGAATGGGGGATCCAGCAATTACTTCATAGTTTGGCATTGTCTTGTCAGCTGCAACTTAGAAATAAGAAAGAATAAAGGGATGTTGGCCATCTGTAATTAATCACAAGTGTTAAATTATTAATTAAATTATTTTAGTAATTGTATAGATTTCATTTATTTTAAAATTGGGCATTACTTAGACTGATTTATGGGAGATGAGTAGCCATATAAATCAAATTAAACCAATCTATCTAAATATCTATCTGTTTCCAAACCCTTAATTTTGTCCCCTTTATGCCTCCTTCCTCTATAACACAATTTAGATACATCTCAAATTTTTCTTTTGGTTTCCTCTTCCAACTCTTTTTGTCTTTGCCCTTGTTTATGTCTATATATATATATATATTTATATTCATCAGTACTCCTCTCATATATGCTTTACTTACATCTCCTACAAATTCCCTGAGTATGCCCTTATTCATATTCGGAGTAGTTCTATTTCTATTCGCAGGTCTTTGGATTCAGTGATTTAATGACCTCCAGTTCTTTCTCTTCTATTCTGCTGCCTCCAGAAACTACCACATCCACTGTGGAGATTTTTTTTGTCTTTCAGAAATAGTCACAGAGGAGTCAAATGAAGAAAATGGCATTGCATCAAGGCTATTTTACTGCCAATTCTTTCGTGCTTGCATCACAAATAAAAGAACATACAAGTAGTCCTTGACTTGGGACCACAATTGAGTCCAAAATTTATGTTGCTAAGTGAGAAATTTGTTAAGTGATTTTTGCCCCATTTTACAAACTTTCTTGGCAAGTTTGTTAAGTGAATCGCTGCAGTTGTTAAGTTAGTAACATGATTATTAAGTGAATCTGACTTTCCTATTGACTTTGCTTGTAAGAAGGCTTACAAAAGGGGCTCCCAGGACCCCAGGACACTACAACTGTCATAAATATGAGTCAGTTGACAAGCATCCGAATGTAAATCACATAACCATAGGGATGCTTCAATGGTGATAAGTGTGAAAAATGGTCCTAAGTCACTTTTTTTCAGTACCATTGTAACTTTGAACAGTCACTAAACAAACTGTTTATAAGTTGAGGACTACCTGTATACAAAAGGGACACAACAATGCTTTTTTTTTCTTTTTGACCAAAACTGCTTCAGTTATATATTAATAAAAGTTTGCATTACTCTGCAGAGTTTCAATGGAAGGTACTTTCCCATTTGCATATCACTCAATGCACCTTGTGGATACTGTATGTGGAAATCAGAGCTGGATTTAGATTGAAGCTAAATAAGCACTGACTTGTGGGTGCCAATGCCAGTAGTTCCTAATCATTCCAAAAATGCAAATCCCCAGATTGGCAAGAAGCGAAGCCATCAGCCAATGTAGCCTAGGGACACCATGTACTCCTGAACCAGCACTGATAGAAACAGTATACAAATGAATAAATATTGTTCTTTCCTGCCAAACTCCAACAAGGCTGTTGGCATCTTTAAATATGGCAAAGCTGGATATGAGGAAACATGCTGAAATTAAATGCAGACAAAATCTGGTGCCCCTGGCAACAAACTTCAAGATTTTTTTCAGCAAATGTTGAAATCCTGCAGCACTCTTAATAGATCCACATCCATAAATTGCTGTTGACATTTTTTTTTAATTGTCCCTTACAGGATGCCTGAAGGCTTTGAGGAAATTTTTGTGGGGCTAGGTCACCATCAACTCATGAACCCTTCAAATAACTCAAAGAAGTTTGGCATCCAACAGATTATTCCTCATCCTAACTACTCAGCTAATGACACTATGTATGACATTGCTTTGGTGGAGCTAAATGACACTGTGGACATCACCAAATACATCTTGCCTATGTGTCTCCCAGAATCTTCTGTGAAGTTCCCTGACAATACCAGCTGCTGGATCACTGGATGGGGAAGAACAGATTCTAAGGGTGAGTGAGGAAAATGGGTTGCGTGTTTGATCTGACACTTTTTCATCCTTTTGCATCTTAATCTATGCAATTTGATATGTTTAAAGATTCCGTGATTTGCTTATTACACCAAAGTAACTTGAAGTTACTTTAAGAACTAACGGGGCACAGTTTAATCCAGGAAGATGCTGGAGAATATTCCAGATACAAACCTGAGAGGATCATTATTCTGCATTGAAACTGAGGCCAAACTAGAGTTTTGCATAAAATCCTGTATAAAGTTACACAGTAGAGTTATAAATCAGAGGGAATCTGAAAAGACCCCTTTAATGTAGTAAATGTTATTAAATGACATAAACTTTCATTAGAAGCATGGAGTAGCTGAAAATGATATAGGGTTTAAATTGGGATGAGACCAGGTTAGGGACAAGGATGAAGAAGGCAAAACAGAGCTTTGTGTGGGTTTAAAAATCATTTTGGCTTACTTAAAAGTAGTAGGATTCTTCTTTTTCTTAAGGTTCTTTTTAAGGTTCAAGAATTAGCAGCAAGCTCAGGATAGTGACATAGGTAGTAGAACCTATTGCCACTAAAATCCATAATAGCACCAGCAAAGATTAATCTGAGTCAGGTCCCAGACATCAAATGAGGTCCTTATTTCCAGTGGCAGAAAATGGCACTAAAATATCTGAAGGGTGTTTTGATTCCAAAATGATCAGTTGAGTCACCCTATCAAAGTGAAATTGCAGAAGAAATCTGGGAACCTGGTTGGAAGCAGCAAACCAAATTAGGTGATTTCTAAGTGTTTTTTTAATCTTTCCAGAAGTGCAAACTGAAGTTTGCTCCCAAATTTTAATATGTAAATTTGAACTAGATCACACCAAATTTCAAATCTTCAGTTTTAATTAATGGAGGCTTCTTCACAGCAGTCTGATTATCTTAAAGAGGTTTGGATTCCAATCAAATCAGAATCAAAGCAAACTGCAAAACTGAATCAGGTCACAAACTAGAATTGATTCTGACTTGAACTGAATTTTCTCTGATTTTATGCACACACCAATAGCTGCAAAACAACAGGGATCAAGTAAAGAAGTAATGCATTTGGGTTCTGAATTGGCATTCTTTTCATCCCAAAGACCTATACATAATATGGGGGATAGGGTGGGATGGAGGGCCACAAAGCAAATTAAACTATACAGTGGTTAGGCTTGGTTTAAAGGAGTGTCAGAGATTTTTTTTTAAGTGAAATGCCTATTTATATTTCATATGTTCTCCAGCTAAAATAGTTTATGTTGGTTTACATCAACCAGACAGCTTGGAGAGAAGATATAATCACAAGATTGCATCTTACTCATCCCTTAGTCAAAATTCTAGTACATCAGCTAAGAACTGGCACCTGTGATCTCACATTGTTGTATATGTAATTATGTGTAGAACATAGTGGTTGAAAAGTTTTAGTTTTTCTTGCCCCATCATAATTTACTTTCAACAGACAACTAATGTGCCTATGACACATAGGTATGTTTCTTTCCTGTCCTGTTCTATTATGTTTTGGGAGATAAGAGCAGTAAAAATATATGGGAAACAACTGTGTTAGATCTGCCATCTTCAGCTTGGAACCATGCTGGCATCCTGCCATCAAAAGATAAGAGGGAAGAGCGGGACCTGGGAGAGGGAACAAATGGGCAATTACCTTCCAGGTATATGTGATGGGAAATTGAGAGCGGGGAATGACAGCTTGTCAAAGAGCAGGAGAGCTTAGAACCAGTTTTTACCAGCACTCAAAGCCATTCACCCTGAGAAAGTATGTGAATTACCTAAACATCTCAGGGTTCTCAAAACACTGGAGTCTTATTGGATGAAAATGGACTGGTCATGAGGGGAGAGCTGGGATGTGGGGAAATTTTCTATATCTTTTGAATGCAAAAAAATTAGCCTGACTTTACTGCAGCCAGCATATTTTAGTAAAAGAACCTATCACTTCAACCAGTTAGAGTTGAGAACCTGTCTTTCCTAAGAGATCGGACTGGGGCAACACCAATATTTCCCTAAAATAATCAGTGTGGTTAGCAAGTCTGTCTTCTGGCAAATCGCAACAAGAAAAACTAAAATTGTTTTTTTATAAATGAAGTTGAGGAATATTAAAGATTTGGCACGAAAGTTACAGTGAACATAAACTCAGTTACTTGTTCTCTGCATTTTATAATGCAACTTTATCCTTTCTTTTCAGTGGACCTGGAGCCTCCCAAAAACCTTCAAGAAGTGGAAATATCTATCATCAATACAGATTATTGCAACTCTATCTACAACATGTTCAATATTTCAATATTGCCCCATTCCCCTATCAGAGACGGTATGATCTGCGCAGGTAGCTTTGAGGGTGGCAAAGATTCCTGTCAGGTATGGCGCTGAAAACTTAGCTAAATTTCTGTGATACAAGATAGTTAAAATTGTAGTGATTGAATTTGTGTAATGTATTAAACTGGGTTAGTTTTAATCTTGGGTGGATAGTGAAGTTGCTAACAATCTGATGAGTTATATATGACATTAACCCTTAATGTTAGTTTATGGTGCCATGAATTGAGCAATGAGAATTAATTAATTGACTGATTAATTAATGAATGAATTAATTAAAAATTAGGTTTGCTGCATCAAACTTATCAATGATGACATGGAAAACTTATGAACCTGCTCATAAAGGATGCAGAGTTCTCCCAGAGCTTCCTTCACTCAGGGAAGTGTGCATTCAGTGCTTTTCAAATTCCCAAGATAGGTATGGGCAATCATCAACAAGAAACCTTATATAGTGTCCAGAAAAACTCATCAAGATTCAACTCCTGGAATTTGATGGAAAGCTTCATGGAAATTTTCAATCAGTGGAGTGATTGCTGCTGAATTTTGCTGATTAAGACAAAAAACAGAGGAGCTAAGAAACTCTCAGAAACTTAATGAAACCCCTGCAAAAATATTTAAAAATTAGGCCAAACATTTTCTGATCTTCTATCTCCAGTAATTATAAAGAACACAGGGCAAAATAACATAACCAACTGCCCTGCATAAGATAAACATTGCTCAGCCATGTGCTAAGAGATGAAAAATAGCAATAGCACTTAGACTTATATACCACTTTACAGTGCTTCACAGCCCTCTCTAAATGGTTTACAGTATCAACCTCAGTGGTAGGTTCCGGATCCCGTTGCAACTGGGGCTCTGTGTCCACCACATGAATGCGGGCACTGCACGCGTGCACATGCGCACACTGTGCACATGCGTCCTTACCTCCTGTGATGATCTGCAACACCTCCACAATACTCTAGCTGCTTGGCAGAGTGTCGGGAAGTTGCCATGCGCTCCATGCATGTGTGCGGAAGTTCCAAAGAGTTCAAATACAGCTAAGGACGGCAGGCGGTTACCAGAACGGTACCCAATGCTCCCAGCAGGTACCGGTATGCCCATATTGGGGCATACCGCCTGCAACCCATCACTGGTCAGCATATTTCCCCCAACAATTTTGGTCTTCATTTTACTCACCTCGGAAGGATGGAAGCCTGATTCAACCTTGAGCCTAGTGAGATTTGAACTGCCAAATTGCAGGCAGCCAGCAGGCGGCAGAAGTAGCCTGCAGTTCTGCATTCTAACCACTGGGCCACTGTGGCTCATTTCTCATTAAAATGCATTACTGGCTCAACTTGTTGTTGTCCAAATATTTTGGACATGAATTCCTATGAATTCTTATTCCTATGAATATAAATCCCTAACCAAATTTAAAGTCCAAAACAGTTAAGAGGGATGACCCATATACTGCTTCTTTTGACTAGTTCTGAAGAGGATTTAAGCAATAGTAATAAATTCATATGGCTTTAAATTCGACTGTGTAGCACTTTGGATTTCATTTTGGATATGAGTTTCAGAGTACCTAGGGCAGCCAGGTGATTCTGGGAAAAGGTGTGACCGCTTTAAGATGGTGTGAGTAGGACTAAATTCATACTCCTGAAAGTTGGGAGACTGAGTTCAAATTGCTACACAACACTAGCTGTCATCCAGCTAAGGAAAGGATAGTGTATGTATGTTCATTTAGAAGACAAAAATAAACATGGAATAGAGTATTCATATGTTTAAAATGATCAACACAGATGCAGCCAAACTGACCATCTTAGAAGCAATATTTTTCTTTCTCCAACAATGCATCAAATGCATCCTTCACATTTTTAACTAAAATATTAGATCACTCTTATGGTTCTTTAGATTATATTTAATCAATTTCTGTGCAAGAGGATGTGATTAAAAATGACAATTACAAGTAGTCAGTCAAGTGATGGATATCAATAGTACCATGTTTCCCCAAAAATAAGACCGGGTCTTATTTTCTTTTGACACACATCGCTAAAATAAGTGATTAGCCTTATTTTCAGGGAGGTCTTATTATTTTTGAGGTGCAGGAGACAGTGAGCGTGGTCACCTCATGGGCTGCTGCTATGTTGCAATATTTTTGGGCAGGGCTTATTTTCGAGGGAGGGGTTATTTTAGCATAAGTACTCAAAAGCATAATTGGGCTTATTTTCCAGGAGGTCTTAGTTTTGGGGGAAAGGGTAGTTTCCCCCATTCTCCAAATGGCATCGTGATACCATTGATTTGTCTCATGACATAGCAAAGGAAATATTATTACCTTGCATGGATGCAGTTATGTTTTTCAGAACAGTTAACATCCTGCTGTTTATTAACAGTGTTAATTATGGTTACCTTTTGAGGGGAGGGAGGTTGTGGGACTTAGAGTATGGTGCAGTGTAGTGTACAGACCCATTTCACTGAATTATCAATCAATATATTTCATTAACCCAAAAACTGTGATAAGTATGTTTGGCGAACCAGCAATTACTGAAGATTCCCAGGCAAAAGTTGAGCTGTTTAGTTTAAGGAATAAATACTTTGCTGCAAAGAAATTTGCGTTTCAATTTCTCAAAATCGGAATGAAGCAGTCTTCCTATAAACATGTGATAACATACATCTTTCTCTTTCCAGGGTGATTCTGGAGGACCTATGGTTTGCCAATGTGATGGAAATGAAAATTGGCTCTTGACTGGGATTGTGAGCTGGGGGTTAGGCTGCGGCATAGCTGGTGTACCTGGTGTTTACACTTCAGTAGCACACTATGCTGATTGGATTCGGCATCATATACCCCACATAACATTTTCAGACTGCACACCTGAAAGTAATAGTGTAACACCTGCTTTTAGTGTAGGATTCAATACTGTGCTTTTACTGATATCTGTCAAATTGATTGTCTTCTGAGATCCTTCAGCTTACCTATGTCCCCAGAGCTGGTGCAGCAGCTCTACATAAAAATCTACACATTCTCCAAACTGGAGGAAGATCAGCATTAAAGTTCTAATCAGTTTTAAATCAATAACAAAATGATTTAAGTCATGTTGCTTACAACAAGAATGAAGATAATACTGACCATTCTTCGGTCTTTGGCTGAGAATCATGATAAGAATTGCATACTACCAAACTTGAGAGGACCTTTCCAAAATCTTCAGAAGCCTAAACTCTGATTGCTGACTATGGTACTACTCTTCCTCCTCCTAATATCATATAATATGCTGTTGCTCTTCCTTCCCCACAAAAGAGTTTCCATTCTCCCCACCAAAATGTATTTCCAACAGCACTTAGCCTGCCAACAAAAAGAACAACAATATTGGGCTGCCAGACAGACTTGATTCAAGGAACATACTCTGTTTTCAAATAATCTCTGAGATCACTATGAAAATACATGTATCTTTAAAACAGTGAAGATGTTGCAATGTCCACCTAAAGGGTGGAGTGCTTTCTCCATTTTTTGTTTTCTTCAGCACTCAACTAGGCACCGGGTTCTGATTTGAACCTTGTTTCACTGACCTACAGGTAACACTCCAGTGGTGGGATTTAAATTTTTTTACTACCAGTTCTATGGGTGTAGCATGGCTTGGTGGGCATGACTTGGTTGGTGTGGCTTGGTGGTAGTGGCAGGGGAAGGATACTGCAAAATCCCCATTCCCTCCCCACTCCAGGGCAAGGATATTGTAGAATCCCCATTCCCTCGTCATCTCACTAACCTGCTTTCCAGCTCTGTTCTCCTGTGCAGGGCAACAAAAGAAGACCCAGCCAATCAACTGGGACTCTGATCATCTGGGACTCGAGAGGCAGCAAATAGATGGGGTAGGAGCCAGCCAGAGGTGGTATTTGTCAATTCTCTGAACTACTCAAAATTTCCACTACCAGTTCACCAGAACTAGTCAGAACTGGCTGAATACCACTTCTGTAACACTCCTATCAATATAAATTCATAAAAGAATTTGTGTCCTGATTTTGGACATCATCTCAACATCTGATTGGCTACAAAAGTGACCAACTGGATCACCCAATCTGGCACTCATTGGAAGAAGATTTTTGAAGTCTCCAGAAGGGTGATTCCTGGCCCTGTTGAAGAGTTCAAAGTGCAGAATTGTTCTACCCCTGAACTAAAATTAAAATCTCCAAGTCTTCTTTAACTATGTGAATTTTTCAGGAAAGGAATGACTTTGCTACAGCTACTCTTGTTAGAAGCCACTGGATTTCACTTACTGTAAAATTTGTAATCTATAACTTTCTTTAATTATTGTACTTAATTCCCATCCCTTTATTTCTCTCCTTTAACTTATTTTAATATGTGATTTTGTTTATTATTGTATTACTACTGGATATTTTTCCATATATATTATTTTATGCTGCTCCTGGAACAAATTATATCTATCACTGTAAAATTTCACTCTGATGTATCATAACAATAAAAGCAATATTTACGCTTTTAAAACACCTTGAGAGATTTAATTCAAATGATTAAAAGATATGTGGCCTTGATATTTAGAAGCAGAATGTACATTCTTGCTTTCCTTATTTACTGGTGAGTTATAAAGAAGCAGATCACCCAGGAAAAGGAAAGCAATTAAAACAACTTTTATTTTCCAAATAGTTTTGAAGAAGCTAGATTATTGGCTTAGGTTGCAATCCTCTGTGAATTTATTTTAGCAGAATGGTTGCTGGATTAAGCAAAAGCCCCTCTTAGGTCAGATATTTAGTATAATAACATAGAATAAGTGAGTTGGAAGGACCTTGGAGGTCTTCTAGTCCAACCCCCTGCTCAAGCAAGAGATCCTGTACCATTTCAGATAAATGGCTGTCCAGTTTCTTCTTAAAAGCCTGCAGTGGTGGAGCACTCACAACTCCTGAAAGCAAGCCATTCCAGTGTTCAATTGTTCTCACTGTTGTGAAGTTTCTCCTTTGTTCTAGGTTGCTTTTCTCCTTGATTAGTTTCCATCCATTGTTTCTTGTCTTGCCTTCTGGTGCTTTGGAAAATAGGTTGACCCTTCTTTTTAGTGGCAGCCCTTCAAATATTGAAACATTGTTATCATTTCATTCCTAGTCCTCCTTTTCTCTAAACTAGACATACCCAATTCCTGCAACTGTTCTTCATATGTTTTAGTCTCCAGCCCCCTAATCGTCTTTGTTCCACGTCTCTGCCCTCTTTCTAGAGTCTCCACATCTTTTTTTATATTGTGGTTTCTCACATGGCCAAGTAAATATCGTTAGAGTAAGTAGGAGATATAAAATGTGCAAAAGTGTGTACATTTTTATATTGTGTTGGAAACATTCCAGAATAAATAGATACTCTTTCAAATGAAGGAAACTGTTTCCCAAGGATTATTTTTATCTTATTTGTTACCTTAAATTGGAGCCAATCAGTCTGGGAACAGATTTTGTAGAGTGGTTGTGTGGCATGGTTGCACAGACAGAGACCGTAATAGAAAGCCATATCCTGTGGGTCCTGTCAGTTGACAATGTTTCAGGCAAGCAACCTGAAGTATGTGTTACTAAACATTTAGGATGCTTTTGTGTTACCAGTCAGAAAGCAATAGCAATAGCACTTAGACTGATACACCATTTCATAGTGCTTTCAAGCCCTCTCTAAGCGGTTTACAGAGTCAGCATATTTCCCCCACACCCAACAATCTGGGTCTTCATTTTTCCAGCCTTAGGATGGAAGGCTGAGTCAACCTTGAACCAGTCAGAATTGAACTGCTGAACTGCAGGCAGCAAGCAGGCAGCAGAAGTAGCCTTCAGTACTGCATTCTAACCACTGCACCACCACAGCTTATAAAACTTTCTCTTTTTTCTTAATGAAATTAATGACATAATCATCATATTAATAGGCAAGTCTTTACAATTTCCTCCTAAGAGACTAAGATAAGCTCCAATTATTTGAAGCCGCCTGCAAAGTAATACAGACAGTTAGGGAAGAGTGAATTTCTATATTATATTTCAGTTATATTATTACTTCACTATTTATATATTTCAGATATAAATCAGTACTTGTTGAATTCAATAATATTTAAATTCCTCTACACTTTGTATTGCCCTTGGAATACAGACTAAAAGTCTGTAGCTATACAATTTGGGATGAACACTCTTTGAATGGTGTGGGAGTAGGAATGGATTTCCAGAGGAAAAATTGTAGACTACAGGAACCAGAAGGACTACTCAGGTGAACCTGAGAACACAGATAGAGTTCTAAGTACTTCAACTTCCCTCTGAAAGGATGCAAATGACCAGCTGTCTGCAAGGAGTATAAATTCTTCCATTCCCCACTATCCTATCAGAGCTGAAGAAGCTTCTTGGATGAGAAGAAAAACGTCATCAAAGAAAAACCAAGAAAGTCCAGTTGCCTCTTTAAAAAATCACCTTTGGGACAACTATGATTTGGATGACTGAGAATCTCTACAGATAGATTTGATAGTTTAAAAATATTGGCAGTCTGTTTTGCAAGGGCTGGGAAACTAATATTGAAATAATGCATTAATCAGTATTTAGCTAAGAGGAGTAATATGGGCATATGTGTTGGGTTTTATAATGCACTTCTTTCCACACAAATATTTTCATATTCTAATTCAATTATCTTCTTGTGCAGTTTTCCATAAAACTCTTCTTGCTTATTATTACGTGCATAGATCCCAATCAACAGCATTTGTTTTTGGTGTATTGTTATCTCCACCATCAGTATTCTCCCTCTTCATCTGTTTGTTGGTGTTTTGCATTTTAACTTTTTTTAAATAAAAGTTTAACAAGTTTTATTCATAAACATAGAAATCAAATCATAAGGCTGGAAGGGAAGTCGGATCCAACCTAATCCAACCTCCTCCCTAAGCCAGAAGGTCTTATACTATCTCAGATAAGCTCTCCTGCCTCAGACAAGATAGAAAGTTGGATCAGAAGACTTCCAAGGCCATCTTTCAAGCACTATAATTCTAAGTCCTTGTTCCAGTCAGATATTAGGAAATGAAAGTTAATATTCTTCAGTGTAGACATTGTTTTCATTTCCTATTGAATGCATAAATGTAGCAGGTTATATAATGAAATAGTAGGAATTTTTAGGGACATGGTGGCTTAGTAGCTAAGACGCTGAGCTTGCCGACCTGAAAAGTCAGCAGTTCGGCGGTTCAAATCCCTGGTCCCGCTGGAGTGAGCTCCCATTACTTGTCCCAGCTTCTCCCAATCTAGCAGTTGTAAATCACGTAAAAATGCAAGAAGTAAAATAGGGACCACATTGGTGGAAAGGTAACAGCGTTCTGTGTGCCTTCGGCATTTAGTCATGCTGGCCACATGACTACGGAGATGTCTTTGGACAGCACTGACTCTTCGGCTTTGAAACGGAGATGAGCACCGCCCCCTAAAGACGGGAATGACTAACGAGGGGCACCTTTACCTTTACCTTAGGAATTTTTAAGAAACCCGGTTTAATATGGGCAAGCAGCCTGATGATGGAGGTTGATAAATGTTATTTTGGCAACAAATGCCAAAGCTGAAGCTAAACCAATCATGAGAGCAATGAAGCCTTAGTTGCTCCACTATGGTTTGTTTTGATCATCTCTTCTATTTAAAATCTATTATGAAAGATTGGGACAGATATCTACAGATCTGGAGCTATTATCTATATATGAAGAAAATTGATTATATATTTCTATCCCAAGCCAAGCCAGAGATTGGGAGGAAAACTTTAACCTAGATGCCTGGATGCCATGAAAAGGACATAGAATTAGGGCATTAGGTTTATTTGCATTGATTAAATTTTTACTCATGCTGTTCTTTCTGTCTTGTATGCCTATCAATAAAATTATATGATGAAATCAGCAAGCGTAAATCAGAGGTCTGAGTACAGTGGTGAAATTCAAACTTTTTTACTACTGGTTCTGTGGGCGTAGCTTGGTGGGAGTGGCAGGGGAAGAATACTGCAAAATCTCCATTCCCTCCCCACTCCAGGAGAAAGATACTGTAAAATCCACATTCCCTCCCCACTCTGGGGCCAATCAGAGGTGGTATTTGCTAGTTCTCCGAACTACTCAAAATTTCCATTAACAGTTCTCCAGAATCTGTCAGAACTTGCTTAATTTCACCTCTGTCTGAGTGCCTTTGCAACCTGTGGGCTGATAACCAGAAATTACAGGCTTCATTTTTGTGGCTTTTTTTCTGATAATTCAATGACTCATATTTCATTGTTACATAAACCAGTATATGGGAATAAAATCTATGGTAGCTAAAATAAGTCATGTAACAATGAGCTTCTCTTCCATAATGCTCATAAAATAGTCTTGGGAGGAAATTTTTAATTTTTCTAATTTTGCCACTGAATAACAGCCTCATGTTTGTACCAATAATATATAAAAGAAATATGAGCATACAGCTATAGCTAGTCCTTATTTAATGAGTGCCTTATTTAGTGATTGCAGTTACAACAGTGATAAAAAAGTAACTTTGTGACCAATGTCTACATTTATGATCTTCTCAACATCTCTCTCCTTCTGTTACATGTTCACTATTACAGTCAGTTAGTACATTGTCCTCTGTTTAACCTACTTTTTTCTTTTTCAGTCCCTCACAGAGGAAAGATTGTCCTCTGTGTAAGAAGGAAATTTCTTACTGAGCTGATTTGTTCCACTCCATACCAGCTCCCTAAAAAGTGCTAACCGCATGTTAACAAGCTCAATAAACTAATCTTAATTAGCCAGCTGATAACTGCTGTAGAAATTGACAAGAGCCTAATCAATTTTTGCTTGCTTCCGAAGCAGCATGTATCAGATGCACTAGGCCAGGGCTGTCAAACTCGCGGGCTAAGGGCCAGATTGCATCATGTGCTGGCCACGCCATGCCAGTTTAGCAAAGAGGGAGGGAAATCCCAATACGTCACATGATGCTGCTGTGATGATGCGAGTTTGACACCCATGCACTAGGCAAACAGCTGGTACTAGCTCACTCCTTTCTATGTGTATTCCTAATTGTATACCTGTTTACTCTCTTATAATCCCTTCCTCTCCAATGAATGTAAATTTAAAAAATTCAATTCTCTTCTTGCTAATTATCCCAGGATTGGAGTGAGCATTCCAAAGGGAGTCAGGGTAAAAAAAAGTCTGCAAGATTTGCCTTTTTATTTGACTCCCATGGTGTGTCACATTCCCCAAAATTTCTCTACTGTTTGTGCTCACCAAGAAATTTGGGGTCATATACTTCTGACTTTGCAAATCAAAAGAAAACTGAAGTAAAATCCTAATCACAGTCAATTATGTGTCTCTTCACTTAGCAACCATTTTGCCTAATCACTATGCGGTTGTTAAATGAGGGCTAGCTATACCATCTAGGTTTAGTGTTTGTTTCATCCAACATGTGATATATATATTATTTTATTTATGAAATTTATTTGTTCTCCATCTTGTATCCAATAACTCTTGGGGTTAGGATTAGGGTTAGGGTTAGGATTAGAGTTTAATAATGCAGACAGATCATCATTTGGAACATGCCAGATATCACGGTTGTAGAGGGCCAAAGCATACAGTTTATTGATATTGCTCCAAGGAGATACCAGTGTCAAAGAAAAAGAACTAGAAAAAATCACAAAATATCATGACCTGGCTATTGAAACTGCACAGCTATGGATGAAACATGTAAAAGTGATACGCATTGTCATCATTGGCACCATGTCCAAGAATTTCACAAAACACATAAAGAAATTGTAGTTTCCTGCAATAACATGAGCGGAACTGCAAAAAAACTGTGCTACTAGGAACATTATATATTTTAAGAAGGTACTTGTTTGGTACCTAGAATGCTGGCAGCAACCCATATCAAACATTAGCAGCGGTCAATGGTATTTGTGACACATCTTTACATGTTCACTTGACTAAGTTTCATGTTTAATGGATAAAAGAAATAATGAAGAAGAAGAAGAAGAAGAAGAAGAAGAAGAAGA